TTTAATTTTCAAGGTAAGCAATTAAAAATATTAATGAAGAGTAACATCATGACTAATTTATTTATCATATTACATTTTGATTTTCAAAATAAAATATTTTAATTTTCTGAATATCTGAAAATAAAGTAAAANATTGGCTTTACCTCAGGATCACTGGTGTAAACACCCAGAGCTGTGGTGGTCCTGGTACGTTATACATCTGTGATGTGCTCTTTTACTCTAATGCCTGAGGAGCGCTTTACATGTAAATAAATATAGTAAGAAGGTATACAATTTTTTATTTATTAATTTTTTTATTTAGAGAAATGATTGATCTTTGCAGATCAATCACATCTCATCATCTTTCTCAGAAAACATTTAGTCTTACTAAGTCACATTGGTAAATGTGGCTTAGTAATACTAAATATTTTTTGCTTATGCTTAAAGTTTGCAATAGTAATATCAAATAAACAAACTTTTCAAAAAAACTTTTAATTAAAGCTCTTCAAAATTAATTAGACTTTTTAATATTATTTTTGTTATATTAAGTAAATCAGGTTTTAGAATTTGACTGAACTTGGTTTATACAGTTAAGTTTGGGATTGGTGCTTCAAGAAATAAACTAACTTCAAGAAATACTCTAATTCAACAATATTATTAAAATTTTTGATGTAAATAGCTATTAGCAAACATAAAATTGTTATGTTATTTTTGTTTGTTATAACCTATTTTTTTCAAGTTATAATAAAACACATACAAAGACATAATACATATCTTTAAAATTTCTTTTTTGGAAGATTATTATATAAGATGAGAATCATATATGCTTTATCTTTTAGATTAGTTATTATTATTATTAGTAGTAGTAAATAAACATTAATATTTTCAACACTAAATATTTGCTTTAATGTTATAAGCATTTGAATGACCTAATATTTAATTCAAAATTTAAAAATTTGAAATATTTCTTTTATACTATACACTTCTGTCTATACCACTTAAGTTATCAGGTTTCACAGTAATCTTGCTATATTATAGAACAGTGAACTTATATAAATATTATTTCCTTGTCTGTTTTCTGTCAGTTATAAGTAAACATGACAGAAATCAAATTATCAATAATAATAATACATTGCTCGTCAAGTTAATAATTCATTGTTATTACAATTTCACAATTCTGTTTATTTTTAGCAAATTTTATATGAATACATACAATTGTTACAACAATTGTTGCAGAATAAAATGTAGTTTCATTGTAACAATTTATAAATGTAAAAACAAAACACTCACCTGTTTGAAAATAAATAGTTTATATTATAATTAAATCAAGTTATATGAAAGATTCAATCTGTGATGGGATGAAAAAACTAATATTCAAATATGAAAGGACTAGAATTCTGCTCTATATGCATGCTTATTAGAATTGACTAAAAATTCACAATAATACTATGTCAAGCTTTATTATGCCAATTGCTGAAAAATTTTTTAAAGCAGTTTTGTCATTAATTGCTGTCTGTAGCAACAACATTAATGCCCAATCATATGTTAGAAATTAGTATATACATTATATTAAGCAACAATATAACAAGCAATATATGCAACTCAAGAATATTATGAAAATTAACAAGAACTGTTGAAAAACTTAATTCTCTATATAAAAGAACATTATGTTATGTTATTTTTCTGAATCAGTAATTCAATTATAGATTTTTCAATGAAAACAGTTCTTACACTTGATCAAGCATATTTAAATTAATAAACCATCATGCTTAATTCTATCAAAGTTCTAAATTTATAATATATATATATATATATATATATGTAAAAGACTGTTTTTCTAAATAATCTAGAATCTAGCTGCAAGGACCCGCTTCGCTGGGTTTTTAAAAAGTAACGATAGTGAAGATTAAGATAATTACATTATAGCCAATCTTACCCGTTTTCACAGAATGCAAGAATTAGGTCCCCCGTTTCCAGATTAATTACAGACCTGGTCCCGATTCTATTTCTGAACGTCTCCTGT